GGCGGAAGGCGGCGGCGCTAAGATGGCTGCGGCGGCGGCGGCGCGGGCGGCCCGTACCTGTTTTCTCCTTGATCTCGCAGAGGACGCTGAACAGGGCGGGTTTCATCCTGTGGCAGTTCAGGGCGTGTTTCCTTGAAGAGAGCACAGGACAAGCGGTTAACGCCGGGCTCCGGCAACATGGCGCCTTCCCGAGCCCCGCGCTGGGGCCGCGCACCCCGGCCGGGGGTCCCGGGGCCGCGGGCAGCGAGGGGCGGCCGGACCCTCCCTCACCCCGCTTCACTTTCAAACCGAATTATCTTGGTGCAAACGCCGCCCTAACCGGGGGGATAAATCACCCCCCACACCTTGTCCCCGTCCTGCGATATTAGAACTGATTTATTAAGGAGGATGGGGGGGGGGAGGGGATGGCGCAGAGTTAACATTGTTTTTGTATTTATTGTGATTTAATACGGCCAGGGCTTGGTTTGGGTTTTATTCACACACACACACCCCTCTCCTGCAGCAGTATCTAGTCAGGTTTATAATTCATCTGCCGCCACTTTGAGACAAGAAAGAAAAGAAAGAAAGGGACAAAGTTGTACTTTCAGGGATGGCCGGACGGACAGACGGACGGACAGACGGCGGCGCAGAGGCCGGTGTCCACCGGACAGTGTCCAGCGGGAACGGGCAGGGACCAGCCACTGCCTCCCGCGCACCACAGCAACGGCAGAACCATCGCATACTTCTCCATTTATTATATCTAATTTTTTTTAAGGAAAGAAATCATTAAATAGCAACTTTGGCTCTGCCTTGGCTGCTGGTAATTTCTCCTACGGCCCCAAGAAGTTGCTCTTAATTGTGAGACTCCGGGTCTCCGCAGAGGAGCAGGAAGAAGAGAAACAAAAACCACACACACACACCAAAAATAAAACTAAAAAAAAAAATAAAAATAATAATAGTTAAAAAAAGGGACAAGGTTTAATTAGACGAAACCAACTTTGCTTGTGCCTCATCCAGGCTTTGGTCAGTGATGGTCATGATCTGATGGAGGATGTCGCCGATGTCCTGCTTCCTGCCGTCGCCGTCGGCCCCTTCGTGTCCGTGGGGAGGCGGCAGGGCCATGCCCCCCTGCACCGAGTGCCCGGCCAGGTTCACGCCGGCCAGAGTCTGCAGCATCCTGGACTGATCGTCCATGGCTCCGGGCCGGGCCGCGCTCCGGGCGGTCACGGCAGCGCCTGCCCCGCTCAGTCCCAGTGCCGCGCTCCCGACCGCGCTCTGCACACACACCACAAAAAAAAGGGGGAGAAAAAAAAAAAAGCCAAACAAAACAATAATAAAAAAAAAGTAGTATTTGTGTTTTGACCGGATCTCAGCTGTTTATTCCACTCTCTTCTCCTTCCCAGGGCAGTAAATCACTCTCTTCTTTAGTTACAATCTTCTTTCATCATCATCATATTGGTGCCTCGGATAAATGAGCTGAGCAGGTTTCTGTGAGGTTTTCCTGGTACAATCTTCCTCCAAAGCTTTTTTTTTTTCCCCCTTTTTATTTTTATTGTCGCTTTTTATGTCTTTCCCCACTTGTCCAAAAATCTTCTTTGAAAAAAGGCAAAATTAAAAAAAAAAAAAATTAAATACAAAATCAAAAAAACTCGCTTTCAAATCCTTCAGAAGTTGAGAGGGTGCAAACAGCAAAACCCACAACAAACCAGCGAACACCCCCACCCCCAAATTGCAACATAAAAAAAAGCCAAGAAAACACAATCACAGAGGGGAAAAAAAAAATTAATCGCCCTCCCCCCCAAATAACAAACGATCCCAAGTCTGTGCACGGGGGTGAGACAGCAGCAATCAAAAGTTTGAACTTGTGCAAAGAAAAGAGCGGAAATAACGGGGAAAGAACTGTAAAAAAATTAATTACACACTCTCTGCAAAGCAATGTGCAAAAATATCGGCCCGCCGGAATTTATGAGCCCCGCGCCCGGTGCCCGCGCGTGTTTTATGTTGTTTGATGGCCGCTCCGGTGAGGGATTGACAGGCTGCCAACGCCACTCACTCACCGCAGACGTGTCACCCTGTGAAGGAGCCGAGCGGCGCGCGAGAGGGAGCGGAGCGCGGGCCCCGCCCCGCCGGCCCCGCCCCGCCCCGCGCGGGCCCCGCCCGCCCCGCTCCGCCC